TTCCACTTGCCTTGAAAGTTAATGATGTTTGGAACAGAGTATACAAAGTAACACCTACTATTTGAGGCCTTTGCTGCCAAAATACGTTTGGGATATAAATGGCAACAGTATATTTCTAGCAGCTTTACGAATGGCAGAGGGCAGGGAAATCGGAATTTGCTGATGCAGTTACAGATTTCGTTTCACTAAAATTTGAAAACAAGTAAACCAAAAAAGATTAAAAATAGCAAATCTAGAATGACTAAATTGTGGTTTGACCGTGACTATGGGTGTTGGCTCTACGAAAAGAATTTAGAAGCATCTCGATTCTTCTCCAAAATATCCTCGGGATCCACTCATCGGGGGCAGATATTTTAATATTAGAAACGAATATAAAAAGTGTATTAAAAAGAGGAAAAAATTAAAAATCGCGCAAATATACGAACGCGAGAATACGAAAGGTGAAAATACTACATGAACTCAACAACGAGACAAGAGATGGAAATACAAATTAATCAATTATACCAGATGAATGGTTGGTTTATTTAAAAAAAAGAATCTTTATTCAGTCTCAATCGAGAATGCATTTTATTATTATTTTTAGAGTTAGAAAACAGCCTGGCCCGTAATCCAGATATCAATGGACCAATCTTAAAAACTGAAATAAGAAAAGACAAAATATCGAAGAAATTCTTAAATATGGACAGTCACACCACATTTAATTTAATGCTTCACAGAAATTGTTCAATATCTCAATATCGTTTTTAGAAGTAAGAATTTCCCCCAAGTTTCAGTATGATTGTGCCCCATTACAAGTAGCATTGTTTGAATTTAAATAGAGTTGCCGCACAACGGTCAATATGTTTATACCTATACTCATATTGCCATCCTTGCGATACAATAGCGGATACAAATAATTACAATCAGAAATGTAAGCCTAAAAGTAGCATGCTCCATTGAATTAAAAGGGGCCTTTGATAGCTTATGACACGATCACATGTTTTTAAAGTTATTGAAGTCAAGCATTAATGATAATATGTATAACATTGTGAAAGACATGTATAGTAAGGTAAACTACAAAATAATTGTGAATGATGGTATAATTAAACCATTTTTATCACAGACAGGAGTCAAACAAGGCTGTGATTTAAGCTCAAACTCTTCAATATATTTATGAATGATTTACTAGATCCTGTTGCCAATAATAAAATAAGCTGTCTAATCAGTGTCTAATGTACGTTGATGACATCGTCATCCTATCTGAAAATAAAACTGGTTTAGAAAACGATTTATATAATCTGGCATCACACACACGTGGAAGCTAACAGTAAACGTTGAGAAGACAAATGTCATGATTTTCTACAAAAGCAACAGTCTTATTTATTTTCCACAAAAATGAAGAATTCAACGTGGTCAGACAATTTAACTACCGAGGAGTGTTACTAAACAGCAATGGAAAGCGGACATAAATAGAAAGAAAGAAAGAAAGAAAGAAAGAAAGAAAGAAAGAAAGAAAGAAAGAAAGAAAGAAAGAAAGAAAGAAAGAAAGAAAGAAAGAAAGAAAGAAAGAAAGAAAGAAAGAAAGAAAGAAAGAAAGAAAGAAAGAAAGAAAGAAAGAAAGAAAGAAAGAAAGAAAGAAAGAAAGAAAGAAAGAAAGAAAGAAAGAAAGAAAGAAAGATAAATTATTCAGATGTGCCATATATGGTGTCAATGACAATAATATAAATACTAACCAGAAAGGTAAAAATAAACTAAGAACATACAACTTAAACTTAAAAATCAACTAAGCAAAAACACTATGATTCATATATCACTGGCAATTAAAATAGATTTAAAAAAGTTTCCTCATAAGACAGCAACACCTCCTTCCAAATTAACTTATTACAGTGTTATACCTTGAATTCTGTATTTAAAATTGTATTTTTGTAATTATTGTGAGTTTTGTTAGGAGTGCATATTTTCTTATGCAACCATTGTACTTCCTTCTGTGGAGTTTTAAGTATTCTTTAATAAATTGAAATTGACTTACCTTAGATATATATCAGTATTCTTATCCATTATTTGCACATAACTGAACATATCCCTAGCGTGTCAATAAAAAGTCTCAAATTGAAAATAGGATTTGGATTTTCGTTGTTTATTTTAATTCCTATTGTTGAATGGGAAATATCTAAAATTTGAATTGTGATTACTTACCGCCAGTTCATCAATCGAAATTACGCCAAAAAACAAAATTATGTAAGATTCCAGAAAATATTAGATATTCACTTGGCCATCTTTAGCCATGGTCAACATTTGCATCATTAATATTGAATAAGGATACCAGTGAAAATACAACTTACCCCCCTTCCCCCCAAATAGCATCAAAGATCTAAACTCTGATTATTGGAGACTATTGGTAAAAATAATAAAAAATAAATTAGAAAATAAACAAAGTATTTGATTATTAACATTCAGTGTGGAACGATACTGATTTGTTAAAAAACACACATCCTGATTTAAAACGTATAGTGTTATCAGAAGGATCAAAATTACGTGTATGAGTCCAATTTTATAACGTTATTATATTCCCCAACGATACTGTTACGTTTGGGCAACAACTTGCTAAAATTGGAAATGGGCAAACTTGGATAATAATGATTGTATCTGTCCCTGTTGCAAAAAGGAACCTGAAACACTGGAGCATTTCATATTACATTGTGAGTGTTTCTCAGCACAGAGAAAAACCCTAATGGAAGGGATTAAAATGCTCCTACGTAACAAAAATGAAATAAATTTATATAAAGACTTCATAGCAAACAAAGAAGTGCTATGTTTAATCCTGGGTGGCAGTACAAGGCAGTATAATTCAGTCCTGTGTGACGAAATTGATACTTTTACAAACAAGTTGATGTCATGAAGAGTAGAAAGAAGTATACAGATAACAATTAATATTGTTACAGTGTACTTCTTATATTTTAGTTTTCATATTTTTTTGTGCTACTTTTAGATGTTTTTGTTGTTGTTATATTTTGTTATTTTAGTTCATGTAACTTAATTTCTTTTTGTCTATCAAAAGTTTTTTCATTGGTCTTTGAGTGAAATGTATTATTTATTTGGTGCAGCTCCTAATTTACATAGTGAGCCCCTGTTACAAAAGGGAAGCAATAAATAAATAAATAGTGTTTTTAATTTTTGAAAAAAATCAGTATTTTTTGTTGTCATTACAACATTTTTATTTTATCATTAAATAGTACTAAATAATAATTAATACATATTGTTATATATTCAAGTGAATATAAGACGCTGATATTGAGTTTCTCTATGTCAAATACTACGTTAGTTGCTGCGACATAACACACACTAAAAACAAATAAATTAAAACATGAAAATGTAACTTATTGTGAAATACTTTTTGACAAAGTATTTGCGTATGAACAATTGGTGTGGCGTAATACAGGTCTGTCAAAGGTCTGTTGAGTACGTTTCTCTATATCGTGTTCCGTGCGTACTGACAAACAGCAGGTCACATTGACCTACCGCGTGCGACCGCTTACGGTGGAAATTGAATAAACTTTCCTCTTTACCAAGAACCCGGAAACCGTCAATTAGATATTTTTTTACCTGTTGGAACAGTTTCGAATGAAATAAAATAAGCTCCAATAAACATGTGCATGTAGCTATGAGCAACTCATATATTTTTCAGTTCTGTCTTTTTATTGGATAAAGGCTAATAAATGTTAAAGGTTAAATGCCAAGAGGTCAGTTACCTGCATGACAAGGGTCCAAACCCGTTTGATACGCACTACGAGGCAAAGTACTGCAAAGACCTATGGGAAGGACGTTTAGAGAACTGCTCTATACCGATCAATTGTAAGCTTAGGGTCAGTTGACAATACATCGTTAGCAATGGCAACAAACTAACGAGGGCGCTGTTTGCCTGACCTCTGCTTATCAGGTCACATTCTTGTATGTGGATCAAGTTTCACTTCCTGCAGTATCGTGCGTTATTCCGAGTGGGTATTTTTCAACAGCTTTCTTTGTAGATATATTTAGTATATAAGGTTGTAATACCAATGTGTTTAGGAATTTTCAATCATGGTTTTTGTAGTGAACTTGCCATTTGAAATGATGAAATAGTCACT